CTGTGGGATCAAGTGTTCATCTGTGGGATGTTCTGGAAGAACAAGTGTTCATCTGTGGGATGTTTCTGGGATGTTCTGGAAGCAAGTCTGTGTGGGGTGTTCTGGAAGAACAAGTGTTCATCATCTGTGGGGTGTTCTGGAAGAACAAGTGTTCATCTGGGGATGTTCTGGAAGAACAAGTGTTCATCTGTGGGGTGTTTTGGAAGAACAAGTGTTCATCTGGGGGATGTTCTGGAAGAACAAGTGTTCATCTGTGGGGTGTTCTGGAAGCATCTGTGGGATGTTCTCAAAGAACATGGCGGCCCCACTTTGAAACTTACAGGACTTAAAGGATCTGCTGCTGACGGTTTGGTGCCAGATATCACAGCACAACCTTCAGAGGTCTAGTGGAGTCCATGGCTGGACAGGTCACTGTGGGTAATGATCATGTTCTAGCTGATCGTTGTGTATTAATACCTCCCAATCTATATTAATTCCTGAGTCCACACGCAAGTTTTCATATTCTTAAGTCCTGATGAAGGCAGCGATGTTGCAGCCCCCGAAAAACATTGGCTCCATAAACAATCTGTCAGTGGAATAACCTCATGCTTGGACTTGAGTATTACGGTGTGATACTTCAGTTCTGGATTCAGCCCAAGAACCAAAACCTTTCCATTTACACCGCAGCCAGAATACTGGATGATATCATACAATATAAAATAAACATGCAAAGAAACCTCGGAGTTCCCGTGTCATTCATCCCCTTACAGAGGCATAAACAGCCGTCATACCCACAAGCACCTATCAAAGGACATAATGTTCCTCTCCGTACTTTACCATACGCTCCGCAGTTGCCATGGATACAGGTACATGATTATAAATTGCTGACCCGAGCATGGAACTTGCGTTGTATGAATACTGATAGATGTAAACATTTCCTCTCTTTAATGATAGTGAGCTGTGTGATGTGAAGGAGACGATTCCACAATGCTTTACCTGTAGGGAAATCACAGAGAACAAACATACAGGGAATGACACAAAGTAACAAACTAAAAAAGAAGCAGATTCACAATGAATACTTCTTAGGTGGGGGGGGGGGGGGGGGCCGCATTGGAAACTGGGACTGTTGGGGGGGGGCAAACTTAAAGTGGTTGTAAACCCTTCCATATACCCAGTGAAGTAACTGGCCTCAGGTTATACAGAGATGAAACAAATCCTCCTACTTTAAGTTGAACCTGTTTATCTGCAGTATTTTCTGTACAGCCATTCAAAGTGCAGAATTTATACAGCTTGTCTGAGCTTCCAGAATGCAGGGGGTGGGGAGCAGAAGTTACATCTGCAGTGCACAGTGACAGCCGATTGAAGGGAATAGACGCAACCCCCTTCACACAGGAACAGAGCTGAGGCTGTCACTCACACAGGCTGTGTGCTAGAGCTCCTTCCCTGTCACCTTTTTATCTCTTGGTGTCAGGAAAACTTGTCAGAAGTGACTCATGCAGCTAGCAAATGAACAAGGCAGCAGACAGAAATGACACTTTTTGCTCTGGATTGAGACAAGTAGACACTATAGAGGGATATGCTTTGTTCATATTTCATTTATGAGGTTTACAACCACTTTAAAGTGGTTCTAAAGGCTCAAGGTTTTTTACCTTCATGTATTCTAACACTTACCTGAGCCCCATCCCGATCCAGCAATGCTCATGAGAGCCTCAGTTCTCCGGGGACTCTGACTCCTAATTAGCTGAGGCAGCAGCGAGAGCATTGGCTCCCACTACCGTCAATCACAGCCAGTGAGCAAATCAGGAGAGAGAGGGCGGGGCAAACAATGGCTTTGTGTGTGTGTGAATGGACACAGCCATGGCTTAGGAGTGTGCCTGTTCAGGTGCCCCCATAGCAAGCTGCTTGCTGTGCGGGTACCCAAAAGAAGAGAGGGGCAAGGAGCGCTGGCGAGGGACCCCAGAAGAGGAGGATCTGGGCTGCTCTGTGCTCTTGTTTAGCCTTCCTTCATACGCAGCCAGCTGATCCCTCTCTCTACTGCTTACCCGAGCGTCGTGACGTCAAAGCCCCTCCCCTACGCGTTACGCCACAGTTTAACAGGTTTGTTTTTTTTTTAAAAACAAGACTTTCATATTTCTTTAATTTTGCTCAATATTGATTTTGGCCCTGGGAAGTGCTGTAAGTGCATGAACGTATCGAAAACAAAAAATTGAAAGTTTCCCACTTTGGTAAGATTTCACCAAAGGCAAAATCAATTTGTGCTCATCCATAAGGGTGAACTAGTCAGACAGGAAGGCAAAATAACCCCCCCCCCCCCCTCCAGGGAACGTGATGCCGGTTTTACCATACAGGAGGAAAAGCATTTATTTCTGACTTTCTGGGGCAATCAGCTGCATTCCTAGGGCCAGAGTATTTCTCTCCTAGCCTCTGGAATTTATTATTTGCAAGAAAAAAAAAAACATCCAGTCCTTTCTTCAATGCAATGATTGTTTTGTTTTTCCATAGCTACATCATGGTGGTAAACCATTTCACTGCCTATCTGCTCTTACTGTAAAGAATCCCTTCATGAACTGATTGAATTGTATATTAGCCGAGTCCATTTTGGAACTGGGAGCCCAAAGAATTGGGGGCTTCTCAGTACCAAAACTGCACTACCACTGGCTGGGCTGCTCTGACACTAATGATTGGGAACCACTTAAGAAGAAGTGATTAAGGGGGATATGATCTCCATGTATAATACATAAGGGGGGGATATGATCACCATGTATAATACATAAGGGGGGATATGATCTCCATGTATAATACATAAGGGGGATATGATCTCCATGTATAATACATAAGGGGGGGGATATGATCTCCATGTATAATACATAAGGGGGATATGATCTCCATGTATAATACATAAGGGGGGATATGATCTCCATGTATAATACATAAGGGGGGATATGATCTCCATGTATAATACATAAGGGGGGGATATGATCTCCATGTATAATACATAAGGGGGGATATGATCACCATGTATAATACATAAGGGGGGATATGATCTCCATATATAATACATAAGGGGGGGATATGATCTCCATGTATAATACATAAGGGGGATATGATCTCCATGTATAATACATAAGGGGGGGATATGATCACCATGTATAATACATAAGGGGGGATATGATCTCCATGTATATAATACATAAGGGGGGATATTGATATGATCTCCATGTATAATACATAAGGGGGGATATGGTCTCCATGTATAATACATAAGGGGGGATATGATCTCCATGTATAATACATAAGGGGGGATATGATCTCCATGTATAATACATAAGGGGGGATATGATCTCCATGCATAAATACATAATGGGGGATATGATCTCCATGTATAATACATAAGGGGGGATATGATCACCATGTATAATACATAAGGGGGGATATGATCTCCATGTATAATACATAAGGGGGGATATGATCTCCATGTATAATACATAAGGGGGATATGATCTCCATGTATAATACATAAGGGGGGGATATGATCTCCATGTATAATACATAAGGGGGGATATGATCTCCATGTATAATACATAAGGGGGGATATGATCTCCATGTATAATACATAAGGGGGGGATATGATCTCCATGTATAATACATAAGGGGGGGATATGATCTCCATGTATAATACATAAGGGGGGGATATGATCACCATGTACAATACATAAGGGGGGGATATTTATCACCATGTATAATACATAAGGGGGGATATGATCTCCATGTATAATACATAAGGGGGGATATGATCTCCATGTATAATACATAAGGGGGGATATGATCTCCATGTATAATACATAAGAGGCTTGGCTAACAGATATTCTCACTTCCTCTCCTGTGTATGACCCCGGCTACCCATCTGACTATGTTTGCTCTAACTAGTTCTGGTCAGCTCAGTAGATTTTTTTTTTTTTTTTTTAAAAGGAGCCAGATACATTCCTAAATGCACAAAATATAACCGAATATTGACATTTATAGGAAGTTATCGATCCTGGGAATATCTGATGTCCCTCTGGGGGTCAGGAAGGTATTTGTTTTTACTCCGATAGAGTAAATTTGACCATGCTGCATTGGCAGGGTTTTTGGTTTTTTTTTTGCCTTCCTCTGGATCAACTGTGCGAATAGGGTCCTCTATATGGAGGTTTTCTATTTGTTCTGATTTTTTTTTTATCTTTTTTCTTTTTTTTTCAATAGATGAAGTTAGATGGACTTGGTGTTTTTTTTTTTTTTGTTTTTTTTCATCCTGACTAACTATGTTAACATGACAGCTAATGATGTAATCAGTATGATGGACGATCGTTATGACAGATTGGGTTTGTTTTATAACAAACCCACCAGCTCAGCTGTCATTGTGTTAGGCCCAGCCGGCCTCAGCTGCCAAACTGAAACACAGACAGGAAAAAATGCATTGGTTATAACTATAAATAATATAGATAATCTGTTACATGTATTTTTTTTTATATTTTGTCTAATTTATTACTAAAAAGAAAACATAAGTATGACGTTTTTTTTACAATGGTGCACCAAACAAAGCACCTTACAGTATAAAAGCCTATTTAGATCTGTGTATAGAAGTGCAATTTTTTGTAGCATTAGGCAGATACATTATTATGCATCAATGTGTATTTCTTTTGTGCATTGGTGTGTGTAACCAACGCGTTTCGGATTTTGGTGTGGAAAGAAGTAGCAGCCTGCTGGAATACAATGTTCATATAATTTATGAATATATTAAAAAGTAAGGGTCCCAAAACTGAACCTTGGGGGTCCCCCACTAACAATACTGAACCTTGGGGTTCCCCCACTAATTACACTGAACCTTGGGGGTACCCCCACTGACACCCCAGACCATTCAGAGTATGAATCGTTAACCACTACTCTCTAAATTTTATCTTTTAGCCAGTTTTTCTATCCATTTACATTCAGATTTTTTGCAAGCCGGTAGACTTACCTTACACATTAGCCGTTTTGAAAAATCCAAGTATACCCACAGCCATCTGTCCACACGTCCACCGCCACCCCTCTGTCCAAGTATAATCCACATCCACAGCCACCCCTCTGTGCCACCCCTCTGTCCAAGTATACCACATCCACAGCCACCCCTCTGTCCAAGTAATACCACATCCACAGCCACCCCTCTGTGCCACCCCCACCTGTCCAAGTATACCACATCCACAGCCACCCCTCTGTCCAAGTATACCACGTCCACAGCCACCCCTCTGTGACACCCCTCTGTCCAAGTATACCACGTCCACCGCCACCCCCCTCTGTCCAAGTATACCACATCCACCACCACCCTTCTGTCCAAGTATACCACGTCCACCGCCACCCCTCTGTCCAAGTATACCACATCCATCCCACAGCCACCCCTCTGTGCCACCCCCGCCACTGTCCAAGTATACCACGTCCACCGCCACCCCTCTGTCCAAGTATACCACATCCACAGCCACCCTTCTGTCCAAGTATACCACGTCCACCCGCCACCCCTCTGTCCAAGTATACCACATCCACCGCCACCCCTCTGTCCAAGTATACCACATCCACAGCCACCCTTCTGTCCAAGTATACCACGTCCACCGCCACCCCTCTGTCCAAGTATACCACGTCCACCACCACCCCTCTGTCCAAGTATACCACGTCCACCTCCACCCCTCTGTCCAAGTATACCACGTCCACCGCCACCCCCTCTGTCCAAGTATACCACATCCACCGTCACCCCCCTCTGTCCAAGTATAGTATAAAGTATACCACATCCACCGTCACCCCTCTGTCCAAGTATACCACGTCCACCGCCACCCCTTTGTCCAAGTATACCACGTCCACCGCCACCCCCTTTAGTCCAAGTATACCACGTCCACCCTTGTCCAAAGTATATACCACGTCCACCGCCACCCCTTTGTCCAAGTATGCCACTTCCAAGTATACGCACACCCACCTCCACCCTTTGTCCAAGTATACCACGTCCACCGCCACCCCTCTGTCCAAGTATACCACGTCCACCTCCACCCCCTTTGTCCAAGTATACCACGTCCACCGCCACCCCTTTGTCCAAGTATACCACGTCCACCGCCACCCCTCTGTCCAAGTATACCACGTCCACCGCCCGCCACCCCTCTGTCCAAGTATACCACGTCCACCGCCACCCCTCTGTCCAAGTATACCACGTCCACCGCCACCCCTCTGTCCAAGTATACCACGTCCACCGCCACCCCTCTGTCCAAGTATACCACGTCCACCGCCACCCCTCTGTCCAAGTATACCACATCCACCGCCACCCCTCTGTCCAAGGTTTTGCTCACTTCCTCATAAAATAAATCAGATTTGTTTGACAACTTCTGTCTTTCATAAATCCATGCTGCCTGTTGGTTACAATATTTGTTTCCAGCAAGAACTCATCTATGTGGTCTTTTATTAAACTCTCCAGTATCTTCCCAACTATAAAGTTACACTAACAGGTCTATAATTACTTGGGAAAGAGTCTTTCCTAAAATCAGATCTTCTGTTATTTCTGCATTTTAGTGCATTGGCAAAAGTCAATGGCTAAGCATCAAAATGCTGTTTATGTAATTAAAAAAAATAAATAAATAAACAGTGGTGATCAAATACTAACAAAAGAAAGCTCTATTTGTGTGAAAAAAAATTGTGTAAATTTGGGTACAGTGTCTAATGACCGAGCAGTTGCCAGTTAAAGTTGCACAGGGGGTAAAACCTTGTGGAGGTCAAGTGGTAATGCTGGACACCAGGCAGAAAAAAAAAATGCAAATGAATGCAATGAACGAATACTCTATTAAATAAATAATAATAATTATATATATGTATGTATGTGTATGTGTGTGTGTATATATAATGTGCATAAAGAAGCCAAGGAAAGATGGAAAAATCTCCAAAAGGCATCAAATTACAGATTAGACATTCTTATAATATGTCAACAAAAGTTAGATTTTATTTCCATCATTTACACTTTCAAAATAACAGAAAACAAAAAAATGGCGTCTGCAAAAGTTTGGGCACCCTGCAGTATTTATAGCATGCACTGCCCCCTTTGCCAAAGCTGAGACCTGCCAGTGTCATGGATTGTTGTCAATCATCGTCTGGGAAGACCAGGTGATGTCAATCTCAAAGGTTTTAAATGCCCAGACTCATCTGACCTTGCCCCAACAATCAGCACCATGGCTTTTTTCTAAGCAGTTGTCTAGAAAACTGAAACTGAAATAGTTGACGCTCACAAAGCTGGAGAAGGCTATAAGAAGATAGCAAAGCGTTTTCAGATGTCAATATCCTCTGTTCAGGAATGTAATTAAGAAATGGCAGTCATCAGGAACAGTGGAAGTTAAAGCAAGATCTGGAAGACCAAGAAAAATATCAGACAGAACAGCTCGCAGGATTGTGAGAAAAACAATTCAAAACCCACGTTTGACTGCACGATCCCTCCAGAAAGATCTGGCAGACACTGGAGTTGTGGTACACTATTCCTCTATAAAGAGATACTTGTACAAATATGGTCTTCATGGAAGAGTCCTCAGAAGAAAACCTCTTCTACGTCCTCACCACAAAAATCATCGTTTGAACTTTGCAAATGAACATATAGACAAGCCTGATGCATTTTGGAAACAAGTTCTGTGGACCGATGAGGTTAAAATTGAACTTTTTGGCCGGAATGAGCAAAGGTACGTTTGGAGAAGAAGGGGCACAGAATTGAATGAAAAGAACCTCTGTCCAACTGTTAAGCATGGGGTTGGATCAATCATGCTTTGGGGTTGTGTTGCAGCCAGTGGCACAGGGAACATCTCACGAGTAGAAGGAAAAAATGGATTCAATAAAATTTCAGCAAATTTTGGATGGTAACTTGATGCCATCTGTGAAAAAGCTGAAGTTAAAGAGAGGATGGCTTCTACAAATGGATAATGATCCTAAACACACCCCTAAATCCACGGGGGATTACATCAAGAGGCGTAAACTGAAGGTTTTGCCATGGCCTTCACAATCTCCTGACCTCAACATCATTGAAAATCTATGGATAGACCTTAAAAAAGCCGTGCGTGACAGACAGCCCAGAAATCTCAAAGAACTGGAAGACTTTTGTAAGGAAGAATGGGCAAAGATACCTCAAACAGAACTGAAAGACTCTTGGCTGGCTACAAAAAGCATTTACAAGCTGTGATACTTGCCAAAGGGGGCAGTACAAGATATTAACTCTGCAGGGGGCCCAAACTTTTGCAGACGCCATTTTTTTGTTTTCTGTTATTTTGAAAGTGTAAATGATGGAAATAAAATCTAACTTTTGTTGACATATTATAAGAATGTCTAATCTGTAATTTGATGCCTTTTGGAGATCTTTCCATCTTTCCTTGGCTTCTTTATGCACATTAATACAAATTTTTAGCTGGGGTGCCCAAACTTTCCATCCCCACTGTATATATATATATATATATATATATATATGTATGTGTGTGTATATGTATGTGTGTGTATATGTATGTGTGTATATATATATACACACACACACACACACACACACACACACACACACAGACACACAGACACACAGACACACAGACACACACACATAAAACATACATACACACTTTCTAGATAGATATGGAGCGAGCACAGGGTTGAGCTCGTCAGTCCAGCTCATCAGTCCACTGCTTCTATTTTCACTGTCCAATCACAGGCTGGGGGGAGGGACAAGACCCGTAGGTGTTACTGAACTGCAGCAGGGAAAAAATCAGGTCTCCTCCCCTGCCAGCCAGGGATTGCGCTGTAGGTCAGAGCTGTGTGAATCTGAGGACTGGATGGACAGAAATACAAATCCTTTGGCAGGTAAAACAGATCCCATATATGTATTTCATCCATGTATTTAATTGTTTCCCTTGTGTTTGGGTTTCTCTTTAAGCTACTCATACAAGTGTCTTGATATTTTTTTTTGTCAACTACCCCCCCCCCCCCCCCGCCACTCGTGGTCCCTCTTTATCTCCTTCAATGGGTGTTCACTAGGCAACCGGCTGCACGCCGTGTTCTGCCTCACTGACTGACTCTCCAGATCTTGTGTGTGTTTTGTGTTACAGACAGGCCCTGGGGTGTGGAATATTCCGTATGTCAACGCTCCAGATTCAAACGGGAATATCTGGTGTCCTTCGTAGGATTCTCGCACTGTGTGAAGCAACTTGCAGAGTATCGGATCCGCTTCCTGTGAAGATTTTTTTTTTTTATGTTTTCATAAAAGAGCTGACTTGAATAAATGGAGGTATTTGTATATTTCTGTGGTCACCAGAGAATTTGTTTTATTTGTGGAGGGGGGGGGGGGGGGGGATTCTGGTAAAGTGCTTTTTGAATGGCAACTCATTTCAACCGTGTCAAGTCGAGTCGTTAATTTTCTTTACTCTTGGGATTGTGTTGCGATGGGTTAGAACCTCTGTCTGTTTTTTATTTCTTTCTGGGGCTCCCTTAGAGGAAATGTCACATGTATTTTATACTTCATTACACATTGATCCAGCTTGGCCCAATGTACTATGTATATACCGTACCTGTGGAACCCTCCAGAGTAGGGGTCTCCAAACTTTCTAAACAAAGGGACAGTTTATTGTTCTTCAGAATTTAGAGGTGCTGAACTGTGGTCTTTGGGTGTAAAAAGGTATCAATGTCAGTGGGGAAAAAAACATCAAGACAGTGCCCCATCATTGGTGTCAGTGGGAGGAATAGTGCCCCATCATTGGTGTCAGTGGGAGGAATATTGCCCCATCATTGGTGTCAGTGGGAGGAATATTGCCCCATCATTGGTGTCAGTGGGAGGAATATTGCCCCATCATTGGTGTCAGTGGGAGGAATATTGCCCCATCATTGGTGTCAGTGGGAGGAATATTGCCCCATCATTAATGTCAGTTAGTGGGAGGAATAGTGCCCCATCATTGGTGTCAGTGGGAGGAATAGTGCCCCATCATTGGTGTCAGTGGGAGGAATAGTGCCCCATCATTGATGTCAATGGGAGGAATATTGCCTCATCGTTGGTGTCAGTGGGAGGAATAGTGCCCCATCGTTGGTGTCAATGGGCAGAATTGTACCCCATCGTTGGTGCCAATGGGCAGAGTTGTACCCCATTGTTGGTGTCAGTGGGAGGAATAGTGCCCCACTATTGGTGTCAGAGGGCAAAAGTGTGCTCCATTGTTGGAGTCAGTAGGAGGAATAGTGCCCCATTGTTTGGTGTCAGTAAGGGAAATATTGCCCCATCGTTAGTTTCAGTAGGAGGAATAGTGCCCCATCATTGGTATCAGTAGGGGGAATAGGCCCCATCATTGATGTCACAGAACAGTGCCTCATCATTGGTGTCAATGGCTGTAATACTGCCCCATCATTGGTGTCTGAGGGCAGAGATTTGCCCCATCGTTGGTGTCCATGGGAGGAATAGTGCTCTATTGCTGGTGTAAGTGGGAGGAAATATACACCTTCATTGGTGTCTGTGGGGGGGGGGGGGGGGGGGGGTATTCCCCATTTTTGGTATCAGTGGATGAAATGTTCCCCAAGAGATAGATAAAAGCAAGCAAAGGGCCACAGTTTGGAGAAATCTCTACTTCACCGTTACTCCAGTTCTTTCCACAAGCTTCCAGGTCCCATGCTGGGCGGTTTCATGCTGCATTGTCAACACAGGAAGTAAACCACTGAGCAAAGACGCCATTCAGAGAATGCTTTACATTTTCTCAATGAATGCACATAATTACGTGATTGGATGAGGTGGTGAGTTGACATCTCCAACTCATCCATTCAGAGACTGCTTTGCAAAGCATTCTCTGAATGGCGTCCTTGTTCAGTAGTTGACTTCCTGTGTTCACAATGCAGCAGAACAGCTGCTCAGCACGAGACCCAGAATCTAGTGGAGATCACTGGAGTAGGCGTGACTACGTTATGGATTTCCAGTATCTAGGGGCATCAGACAGGTATGGTGTATACATAGTTACATTGGTCCAGGCTGGACCAATGTAAGTACAGGTATACTTTGGTTTACGGACGCCTCGGTTAATGTAATTTTTGTTTTACAAATGAAAATCCATTTAAAATAATGCCTTGGTTTACAAATTTTTTTTCAATTTATTTTTCGCAATACGAAGTGTATGTCGGTGCCGATTTTTAAATGCAATTGTTGGCTTTTGTTTTCCTTCACTATAGGTCACAGAATTCGCTGTCACTTTCCCTGGAGCTAAAGGATACTTTGTTTCTTTTATCTCGGGGAAACAAACTAAAAGGAAACATTGTTTCTTTTATCTCGGGGAAACAAACTAAAAGGAAACTTTCTTTCTTTTATCTCGGGGAAACAAACTAAAAAGAAACTTTGTTTCTTTTAACTCGGGGGAAATAAACTAAAAGGAAACTTTCTTTTATGTGGGGTGAAAGTGACAGCTGATTCTCTGAGCTATAGTGAAGGGGAAAAAAAGCCAGTAATTACATACTAAAATAAACTAAAAAGAAACATTGTTTTCTTTTTATCTCGGGGAAACAAACTAAAAGGAAATATTCTTTCTTTTATCTCGGGGAAACAAACTAAAAAGAAACTTTGTTTCTTTTAACTCGGGGAAATAAAACTAAAAGGAAACTTTGTTTCTTTTATGTGGGGTGAAAGTGACAACTGATTCTCTGAGCTATAGTGAAGAAAAAAAAATGCCGGTAATTACATTTAAAAACCGGCACTGACCTATAGTGACAGCAACTTTTTTTTCTAACCTTCGGAATGGATTAATTGGTTTTCAATGCACTACTATGGGAAACCGTGTTTCAGGTTACGAATTTTACAAAATACGAAACGTCCCGCAGAACGCATTAAATTCGTAAACAGAGGTACACCTGTATATATAACTTATCCATACCTGGAATTAAAAGATCCATCTTTCTTCTACTTGCAGAGCAATAAAAATCTGACCTCTTGTACTCTACTAAAAAACAGCATTTGTGTTTCTGTCTGTATTGCTTTTGGAGATTTCCCCTCACTTCCTGTTTGGTAAAATGTCCACAGACCAGGAAATGAGGGAAAAATCTTTCTAATGGAGCCACTGGTAGCAGTAAACACACGAGAAGGGTTCTAACCCTCACCCATGTCTAAAATTAAGGAAAAGAGGTGTTAGCTGGAAATACTTTAAATTATGTATCAATTCAGCTGGCATGGAGTTTTCTATAAGCATTAACAATTGTCTTTTTTTTTTTTTTTTTTCAATAAAATCCTTGTTTTCACATTTTGCCGTCTTTGTTACAGTGCTGCTGATCTGCAGCCTCTTCCTATCTACATACAGTCCAGCAGTGGCCGCATGGCATTTTTCAGGGTGGGTTTCCTGATGGTGAGAACAATGGCCCATGTAATGTGTGCTGAAAGAGCCCCTTGTAGGCTCCATCATCTGGGTGACAGGGTGACAACTCAGGAGCACAATTGATAGACAGTGACAGAGCGTTGTCATAGTATAACAGGAAGTGCCTGAATGAGGACTTTTATAGCAGAACCAGGGATTATGTTAACCACTTCCAGTCCGGACACTTTCCCCCCCTTCCAGTCCGGACACTTTCCCCCCCTTCCAGTCCGGACACTTTCCCCCCCTTCCAGTCCGGACACTTTCCCCCCCCTTCCAGTCCAGTCCGACGCTTTCCCCCCTTCCAGTCCGGACGCTTTCACCCCCTGGACACTTTCCCCCCCTTCCAGTCCGGACACCCCCTTCCAGTCTTTCCCCCCTTCCAGTCCGGACGCTTTCCCCCCCTTCCAGACCGGACACTTTCCCCCCCCCCGGACACTTTCCAGTCCGGTCACTTTCCCCCCCCTTCCAGTCCGGACACTTTCCCCCCCCTTCCAGTCCGGACACTTTCCCCCCCTTCCAGTCCGGACGCTTTCCCCCCCTTCCAGTCCGGACACTTTCCCCCCCTTCCAGTCCGGACGCTTTCCCCCCTTCCAGTCCGGACGCTTTCCCCCCTTCCAGTCCGGACGCTTTCCCCCCTTCCAGTCCGGACACTTTCACCCCCTCCTTTCCACCCCCTTCCAGTCCGGACACTTTCCCCCCCCGGACACTTCCAGTGTCCGGACACTTTCCCCCCCTTCCAGTCCGGACACTTTCCCCCCCTTCTAGACACTTTCCCCCCCTTCCAGTCCCCTTTCCCCCCCTTCCAGTCCGGACACTTTCCCCCCCTTCCAGTCCGGACACTTTCCCCCCCCTTCCAGTCCGGACACTTTCCCCCCCTTCCAGTCCGGACACTTTCCCCCCCTTCCAGTCCGGACACTTTCCCCCCCTTCCTGTCCAGTCCAATTTTCAGCTTTCAGCGCTATCACACTTTGAATGACAATTGCGCGGTCATGCAGCACTGTACCCATATGAATTTTTTAGCATTTTTTTGAGACAGATAAAACTTTATTTTGGTGGTATTTATTTACCGCTGGGATTTTTATTTTTTTTGCTATATAAATGAAATAGTCCAAAAACTTTGAAAAAAATTGTTTTTCTTATAAACCTTTTCAAATAATCTTTCTTCATAAATCTTGGCCAAAATGTATTCAGTTATCTTTTTAGTAAAAAAAACAATAATATTTTTTTTATATTATTTTTTTTTTTTAAACATACTGTCACCTTAGAATAGTGACACTGTACTACTTGTGGGGGGTGATGAAGATTTTTTTTTTTTTACACTGATTGCTTTTACACCCATAAAGGCTGTAAAAGCAATCATTTCTCCTTCTCTCTGGCTGCATTCTTGCAGCCATTGAGAAATACCGTGAGAGCTGTGATTGGTCACAGCTTGTCACATGGTACAAGGCTGTTGTGAATAGCCCTGTACCATGTGACCTCTGTGATCATTCACAGATTTCACACGTAGTAAGCAATGATGTCAGAAGTGACATCTTGCTTACTACTATTTATGTGATCACTGATTGGGACCTCAAACAGAGAGTCCATACAGCGATCAGTGTTCCTGTTCCGCCGGATCGCGGTGCCGTGCTCTCCTAGGGAACGCGCACAAGCAGGGAAGCGGGAGGATGTTTATAAAGGGACCACCCGCCCCTGCACTGCTCCTGTCTGGCCGTTTTATGTACATGGGCCAGACGGGAAGTGGTTAATGAATGATAAAATGATTATAAATACTTGTTTTTTTTTTTTTGTTTTTGTTTTTTTCTCTCAACACAGGTATACATTATTTATTTATTTATTTTTCTCTTTATATCTTTTTATTAAATTTTCTTTTAAAAAAAAAAAAAAAATTACAAAACCATCATAAATCTTTTTACATCGTTTCTATAGAACTTTATCCCCATACCCACCCCAACACACCCCTGTCCAGTCTCATCTTATCCTCTTTCCCCTCCTATTAATCTAGTCATATATATAGATCTCTTTAACCATTTAAATTCTCTGGCACTATCGGGGGACCTTTTTATTGTTTTTCTAAAATTAAAATAACAAACATGTTATACTTTACTGATCTGTATTGCACAGAGCAGCCCCGATCCTCCTGTTCTCAGGTCCCCCAACAGCTACTAAAGACATAGAATACAAGACCAGAATACAATTCGGCCTGAATTTGTGAAGAGAATTGATTTCTATTTTATTTTTAATTGAATATGCTTTATAACAGAAAGTAGAAAATATATATTTTTTTTTTTTTTCATTTTCTGTTTAATAAAAAAAAAAGTGGTGTCCAAATTCCACCAAAAAAGCACTATTTGTTTGAAAAAATAATATACATTTTATTTGGGTACAGCATTGCATGACTGTGAAATTGCCAGGTAGCCTCCCTAGCGGTCTGATTATGTCCATATTTCTGTGCTCAAAGCGGTACATTTTTTTGCATGGAAATATGTAGTTTTTTTATTGTCGGCCTGTAATATTTAGGAATAACTCCCTGAAATCTGTCCGAACAAGAGTCTAGTAAACATCCCGGGGAGGATAAAATTTGATACACGAAATCATAAATTAAAATATAATAAATAATCATAAAAAATAATAATATAATAATAATAATAATAAATGTAATTCAATAATATAATCAAACCAAAAACACTGAAATGTGAAATAGAGCGCCAAGTTCGCACATCGCTGAGCTCAGTCGCAGAATCGTTTTCAGTGTCTGATGAGGAATTTCCCCCACCAATCATTATCACTCAATTCTGCAAGTGGTTCTGATTTACTATCGCTGTTCTCTAGCCGGTCTAAAACCGCGTCTGACCTAAAGGGACACTTTTTGGACGCCATGGACGTTTCTCAGTTTCCAGGCAGAAAGGGCGGTAAAAATGCAGGCAGGGCCCCGGACAAAGTACTCGGGACAAAATGTATGTGAAATGGTTTGATACAGGAATGTTATACTATGTGATTTTAGTGAATGTCACTTTTACAACTTTCAAATTTCCCGCCAGTTCTGTCCCCCGTACATCCCGACGTCGCAGGGGGCGGAACCCGGAAGACAGATGCTGGGATCGGCCGGAGGAGGACATTGCCGGGGACACTGCAGGGGGGACATCGCGGGAGCGCAGGACAAGGTAAGTGATCGAGGGATCCCAGAGCAATGCTGCAGTGTATTCCCGAGTGTAGCTCGGGGGGGGGTAACCGCTTGTGGTGCTGAAACTTTACCCCGAGCTACACTCGGGAATACCTCCAGGGAGGTTAAAGTAGCACAGTACTGAACAGAAGGAAATGACCTGGTCTTGAAGGGGCGGTCAAGTGGTTAAAATCCTTTTTAGTATCTGGTATCCTGACAACAAATACCTGTGGAAAGTAAGGCTGTCTTATATGAGATTTTAGCGACTGGGTCTACAAATATTTTAAAACCATTGTAGTTTCCCTGGAATGACAGGTCCTCTTTAAGTCCAGGCTCGCCGTTGAAAGCCAATAAGCCGTGTCATTGTAGCGATAGAAACGGTGATAAGAAGAGTAGTTTATGGCAGGAAGATACCCACCATCTGTCCAAATATTGTTCAGCGGCTCGCTGTGTCACCCTGCGAGGTTCCGGGCCTGTCCAGGAGTTCCGGCATGCTGTATGGATGCGAAGCGTCCTCAGCGGTCGTATTTCTGTACAGCTGCACAGAGGAGCAATCAACAACCGATTGCAGCCTTCCAGTACAATGGAGCTCTGTGTGCTGGCGGTAATTGGATTATAGACAGCGCAGGAGTTTTTCCATACGACGGATTTGTTCTCCTCTATTCTGGAGCCCTGGAATATGAGCATCTGATCCCGGTTTATCATTTTATTCGGGAACATTTGTACATTGCCTTTTATTATCACAAATGGATGTGTACCGAGCAGAGGCGTGGGAGTAGATCATGTGCATTACTAACATTTTATTACCAAGAAACAAAAAAACAAAAAAAAAAAAACCCAGTAAAATGGCATATTTATAAAGCATTCGCTGTGATCAACGTTTACTGCGGGGGGATCGATCCCTGTTACCGGTATGGAGTATGATTTGGATCTCTGAAAAAAGTTGCAACAAAAATTCAATAATAATGATAAATACCAAAATACAACCATGAACAGGGGCGGACTGACCATTTGGAAACTTGGGCACTGCCCGAGGGCCCGGGGTCAGTAGGGGGCCCCATGAGATGCCCCTGGTACCTTTTTCATAGGCTTTTTTTAGTTTGGGCAAGGACACAAGGGCCCCATGATCCCCTATTGCCTGGGGGCCCCATGATTTGTCAGTCCACCCCTGACTATGACATTGGCTTTATTATATTAATAGCCAATAAATGTATTGAAAAGGAGTCGTTGAAAGCCCCAGTAGGATGTAAAAAAAAAAAAGACGTCATTGGTCAGGACCGCTTCCTGATAGTAATAACAATGGGCCATACCTGTGTAATGAGTGTCAGCACAGTCACTTGTAGTCTCCGGCAGGGGCCCAAGTAACAGGATGACAACACAAGAGCACAGTTGGGAGACAAGGATAGAGTGTTGTCACCCTAGCAATGTTTCTCAACCAAGGTGCTGCTTGGGTTCCCCCAGGGACGGGGGGAGGAGGGTATTGGATTGGGGAGGTACTTGAGCACAAGACCCAGTTTGCCCTGAATCAGAGATGGATGGGAAAACTCTTTTATTAAGGGGGGGGCAACTCTGATATGATGGGGGAACGTCTGATGTGATGGGGTGACCTGTGGTGGAAAGGGAGTGTTCTGATGTGATGGGGTGACCTGTGGTGGAAAGGGAGTGCTTTGATGTGATGGGGGAACTTCTGATGTGATGGGGTGACCTGTGGTGGAAAGGGAATGCTCTGATGTGATGGGGGAACGTCTGATGTGATGGGGTGACCTGTGGTGGAAAGGGAGTGTTCTGATGTGATGGGGTGACCTGTGGTGGAAAGGGAGTGCTCTGATGTGATGGGGGAACTTCTGATGTGATGGGGGAACGTCTGATGTGATGGGGTGACCTGTGGTGGAAAGGAAGTGCTCTGATGTGATGGAGGACCTCTGATGTGATGGGGGAACTTCTGATGTGATGGAGTGACCTGTGGTGGAAAAGGGAGTGCTCAGATATGATGGGGGAACTTCTGATGTGATGGAGTGACCTGTGGTGGAAAGGGAGTGCTCTGATATGATGGGGGAACTTCAGATGTGATGGGGTGACCTGGGTGGAAAGGGAGTGCTCTGATATGATGGGGGAACTTCTGATGTGATGGTGTGACCTGTGGTGGAAAGGGAGTGCTCTGATATGATGGGGAACTTCTGATGTGATGGAGTGACCTGTGGTGGAAAGGGAGTGCTCTGATGTGATGGGGGGGAACTTCTGATGTGATGGAGTGACCTGTGGTGGAAAGGGAGTGCTCAGATATGATGATGAACTTCTGATGTGATGGAGTGACCTGTGGTGGAAAGGGAGTGCTCTGATGTGATGGGGGAACTTCTGATGTGATGGGGTGACCTGTGGTGGAAAGGGAGTGCTCTGATATGATGGGGGAACTTCAGATGTGATGGGGTGACCTGTGGTGGAAAGGGAGTGCTCTGATATGATGGGGGAACTTCAGATGTGATGGGGTGACCTGTGGTGGAAAGGGAGTGCTCTGATGTGATGGGGGAACTTCTGATGTGATGGGTGACCTGTGGTGGAAAGGGAGTGCTCTGATATGATGGGGGAACTTCTGATGTGATGGAGTGACCTGTGGTGGAAAGGGAGTGCTCTGATATGATGGGGGAACTTCTGATGTGATGGGGTGACCTGTGGTGGAAAGGGAGTGCTCTGATGTGATGGGGGAACTTCTGATGTGATGGAGTGACCTGTGGTGGAAAGAGAGTGCTCTGATGTGATGGGGGAACTTCTGATGTGATGGGGTGACCTGTGGTGGAAAGGGAATGCTCTGATGTGATGGGGGAACGTCTGATGTGATGGGGTGACCTGTGGTGGAAAGGGAGTGCTCTGATGTGATGGGGGAACTTCTGATGTGATGGGGTGACCTGTGGTGGAAAGGGAGTGCTCTGATGTGATGGGGGAACTTCTGATGTGATGGGGTGACCTGTGGTGGAAAGGGAGTGCTCTGATGTGATGGGGAACTTCTGATGTGATGGTGACCTGTGGTGGAAAGGGAGTGCTCTGATGTGATGGGGGAACTTCTGATGTGATGGAGTGACCTGTGGTGGAAAGGGAGTGCTCTGATGTGATGGGGTGACCTGTGGTGGAAAGGGAGTGCTCTGATGTGATGGGGGAACTTCGATGTGATGGGGTGACCTGTGGTGGAAAGGGAGTGCTCTGATGTGAGGGGGGAACTTCTGATGTGATGGGTGACCTGTGGTGGAAAGGGAGTGCTCTGATGTGATGGGGGAACTTCTGATGTGATGGAATGACCTGTGGTGGAAAGGGAGTGCTCTGATGTGATGGGGGAACGTCTGATGTGATGGAGTGACCTGTGGTGGAAAGGGAGTTCTCTGATGTGATGGGGGAACGTCTGATGTGATGGGGTGACCTGTGGTGGAAAGGGAGTGCTCTGATGATGGGAGAACTGATGTGATGGGGGGAACCTGTGGTGGAAAGGGAGTGCTGATGTGATGGGGTGACCTGTGGTGGAAAGGGAGTGCTCTGATGTGATGGGGGAACTTCTGATGTGATGGGGTGACCTGTGGTGGAAAGAGAGTGCTCTGATATGTGATGGGGGAACTCTGATGTGATGGGGTGACCTGTGGTGGAAAGGGAGTGCTCTGATGTGATGGGGGAACGTCTGATGTGATGGGGTGACCTGTGGTGGAAAGGGAGTGCTCTGATGTGATGGGGGAACTTCTGATGTGATGGGGTGACCTGTGGTGGAAAGGGAGTGCTCTGATGTGATGGGGGAACTTCTGATGTGATGGGGTGACCTGTGGTGGAAAGGGAGTGCCTGTGTGATGGGGTGAAAGGGAGTGCTCTGATGTGATGGGGGAACTTCTGATGTGATGGGGTGACCTGTGGTGGAAAGGGAGTGCTCTGATGTGATGGGGGAACTTCTGATGTGATGGGGTGACCTGTGGTGGAAAGGGAGTGCTCTGATGTGATGGGGGAACGTCTGATGTGATGGAGTGACCTGTGGTGGAAAGGGAGTGCTCTGATGTGATGGGGGAACGTCTGATGTGATGGAGTGACCTGTGGTGGAAAGGGAGTTCTCTGATGTGATGGGGGAACGTCTGATGTGATGGGGTGACCTGTGGTGGAAAGGGAGTGCTCTGATGTGATGGGAGAACTCTGACGTTATGGGGTGACTTTGATTTGATGGGGGCGACTCTGATGTGATGGGGGGGCTTTTGATGTAATTAGGTGGGAACTCTGATATGAAGTGAGACCCCTGATTTGATTGGGGACCTCTGATGGGGCCTTTGATGTGATGGGTGGACCTGTGATGTGAAGGGGGGTTTCTGATGTAAAGTTAATTTCATCAAGGTGGTTGTGTGCATCATCCCAATCTTAGGCTTCCCATTGATAAGGAGGGAGCACTGACAACGGCTGGGACAGCTGGAACATGGGAATCTATGGGTGACATCACTACTCCTGGAATTCCCAGGCATTGTCGAGCACTCCCTCTTCTCCCCTGCAGCTGTGCTGACTGACACAGAGGATGAAAGGACTGGACCAGAATGTATTAAAAATAGGTAAGAATACACATTTTTTTTTTACACATGTTAGGCAACAGAGATAGCAGGATGGGGGAGGGGAAATTTTTAGCTGCTCCCCACCTGGCCACTGTAAGTAAACAGCTGGTTGGGACAAGCACCAATCTGAGAGGATGTGGTCTGAGGACCATGCAGCGGCGCAATCCTGTGATGGCTGTGTCCCTCAGACACAGTGCATCACAGATCAGGACATGGGCTCTTTGATTGACCCTCCCGATCATGTGATGGCTTCATCCAATCACAGCCATCACACATTGTAAATAGAGGCTCGTGCCTCTATCACCTCTCCATGTTGGGAGCCCAGTGTGGCGAGGGTGAGCGGAATGCTGCAGCCTGTCAGGATCCCACATAGTGCAGCCATCTGTCACCAGTGCACCAAGCAACATCAACATCTGTCGGTGTCCCTAGTGGGCCATCAACATCTGCCAGTTCACACATTGTACCAGTGCACAAAAACATCACAAAAAAAACATCTGTCACAGTGTATACCAGTGTATATCAACATCTGCAATAGTGTCCCCATCAACATCTGCAATGCAACACATCAACATCTGTATGTGTCCCCAACCTGGTGGGACCATCAATATCTGTCACAGTTTACCAGTGTCCCATCAACGTCTGCAATAGTGTTCTATTACGACATCAACATCTGTCAGTGCCTAATTGCTACATCAACTTGGTGTCCCTAGTGGACCATCAACATCTGTTGAACATCTGTCGGCGTCCCTAGTGACCTTCAACTGTATGTCAGTGGACCATCCCCAGCAGGGGTATATTTACCACAAGGCAAACAAGGCATTTGCCTAGGGCAGGGACTTTTTTTTTAGACGGACAGCACTGCCCCCTGGAAGAAGAGACATATGTGGCATGGGGACCAGGTGGGATCTGAGAGAGGCTGCGGGTTGCTTGATGGTGCATGCAGAGCCCAAGTGTCATTCCCAGGGATGTTCAGAGCTTTGAAAGTGAGTGTCTTTCTCTCTGTCACCGTAGGGGTGGGAGGGCGGGTGTTAGTAGAAGGCTCTCTTGGGTGGGGGGGGGGATAGAGCAGGGGTATTGTTAGTCACTGTCAGGCTTTCTCTCCACGAGGAAGGGGGGGGGGGTGTTGGTTTTGTAAGGCTTTCTCTCGATTTTGTGTTGCCTAGGGCAGCACAAAACCTAAATACACCCATGGTCCCCAGTGGACCATCAACATCTGTCACAGTGTCCCAGGCCAAGTACTAGTAGTGGTGTGTCATGTCCACCACAAAGAATTAGGGCCCATACCACATGTGGTATCGCTATGCTTAGGAGAAGTAGCAGAATGTGTTTTGAGTTGTAATTCTAAGTATGTCCATGCTGTGTGTTAGAAATATCTTAGAAATTAAAAACTTGTGTAAAAATAATACATTTTCACATTTTCCATAAGCTTGTGGAAAAGAATGACATGTTCATAGTGCCTCATAAAAAATACATTGGGGTGTTTGCTTTCCAAAATGTAGTCATTTTGTGTGTTTCCACTGTCTGTGTGCCCCAGGGCCTTCAAAAATGTGATAGGTAGTCAAGACATTGGATGTGTAATATATGCCGCCTATAATGCCTGAAGGTGCTGCTTGGATGTTGGGCCTCTCTGTGTGGCTAGGCTGTAAAAAAGTCTCACATGTGGTATCGCCATACTCAGGAGGAGTAGCAGAATGTATTTTGGGGTGCATTTCTTTGTATGTCCATGCTGTGTTTAGATATATCTTATAAACTGACAAAAAAAATCTGTGGAAAAAAAAATGTTGTCTCCTAGAAAATACATTGGGGTGTTTGCTTTCCAAAATTTGGTCATTTTGTGGCTTGTTTTCATTGTCCCGGTGCTCCAGGGCCTTCAAAAGTGTAATAGGTAGTCAGGAAATTAGATGCGTAATTTATGCTCCTTGAAAGCTCAAAGGTGCTTCTTGGATTTTGGGCCCCTTTTATGTGGCTACGCTGTGAAAAAAAAATCTCAGACACGTTGTATCCCCTTAGACAGGAGTAGCAGAATGTGTTTTGGGGTGTAATTTCAAGTATGCCTATGCCGTGTGTGAGAAATAACTTATCAAAATGACAAGTGTGTGGGAAAAAACACCTTTTATTTAATTTTTTCATTTTTTGAGAATTGTAGACAAAACTTCTACTTCGGAAAATTCACCATGCCCCTTACTAAAACCCTCTGGATGTCTAGTTTCCAAAAGGGGTCAATAGTATAACCGAAACAAAGAAAACGCATTGTTTTTCAAAATTTTCTGTCTTTTTTTCATTTATATATAAAAAATATTTTTCAAATACCACCAAAAAAAGCTCTATTTGTCTTCTTTAAAAGAACGATAAAAATTCAATTTCGGTACAGTGTTGCATGACTGAGTAACTGTCATTCAAAGTGTGACCGCACTGAAAGCCTGGGTAGGAAAGGGTGAAAGTGTCCGGTATTGAAGTGGTTAAACATAGTGTTGGGCAGGAATTCCACCTTAACACCCTGCCCCCCCCCCCCCCCCCCCATGCACATATGTGTCTGTTGGGGTCTGAGGGCTTTGTACTGACAGTGAACTCACTATGTGTTCCCAGGGCACTGACTGAGCTGTCACCTAGAGCTTTCGGTCTTTCTGAATGGTAGCCAGAGGTTCGGGCTTCTGATCATGTGACTGCTGTGAGAGCCAATCACAATGATCCTGTGTTGCCTCCTCCCTCGCCTTAGCACCTACTTAAAGGGCCACCAAGAAGGAGTTAAATAAGCAAGAATGTGCCAGTAAATGTCCAGACCCAGCCTCTGAACTGAAGTTGCGGCGGTTGCAGATCAAACACGCGTTGCGTACTCGCGTTTATTTTTTTTTTCTCCGCGCCAATTCACGTCTCAAATTATTTAAACATAAGATGACATCTTCTCAGCGCCTCTCCTCTGTCGGCCTCCTGACAGTTTGGTGGAGGTAATCTACAGAAATAGAACAGTCCTATAAAGTATTTAACACAATTAGAGCTCCGCCGCCGCCTGCGGGGACGTCGCGCGGTAACAAGTTATCAAGTGATGTTTAGCGAGAAGAGCCTCCTACGTTTTCTACGGAGGATCGCGAATCGCCGCTTCTCTAGCAGAACTAATTCCCAATTAGCCTTCCTCGGCGGCCCCCGATGGTGCGTGTACAAGATTTCGGATCGTCTGCCATTGTTTTATCAGAGGAGCCATCTGCTGCTCTTCTGTTTCATAACTTTATGATAGATATCACATTTCCGCTAACAGGCAGCAGATGTGATACGATGCATCGCCGTCTCGTTCCCGCTGTACTGTCTGTGGACCGTCAGTTGTGAACCCCCTCCGGGGACAAGATTAGATTGCAGCAGAGAAAACATTGTGATATTAAATGGAGGTACAGAGAGCGAGCGCGAGGTGCGACATACATAGCAACTAAATCACAACATAAATTCCATGGGGGGGTTGATTTATTAACCTCCCTAGCGGTCTGATGATGTCAGTATTTCTGTGCTCAAAGCGGTACATTTTTTTGCATGGAAATATGTATTTTTTTTATTGTAGGCTGTAATTTTTAGGAATAACTCCCTGAAATCTGTCTGAACAAGAGTCTAGTAAACATCCCGGGGAGGATAAAACTTGAAACACGAAATCATAAATTATAATATAATAAATAATCATAAAAAATAATAATATAATATTACATTTAATTCAATAATATAATCAAACCAAAAACACTGAAATGTGAAATATAGCGCCAAGTTCGCACATCGCTGAGTTCAGTCGCAGAATCGTTTTCAGTGTCTGATGAGGAATTTTCCCCACCAATCATTATCACTCAATTCTGCAAGTGGTTCTGATTTACTATGAATTCTTATACTGTACCGCGCTCCAATATTATCAACCTTTTGTGATTAACCTTTTTTGGTTGTGTGAATTTCTTAATATACCACCTATAATCCAATCATTACTTACTTCTATGGTGCTTAAATATACAATTAACATAAATTAATTTATAAATATGAATTAAAAAATTATATGTGATTATAACAAATATTAATAAAAAATTAATGAAAAATTGGAATGTCAATACTATGTGAATAAAATAATAAAAAATTAATAAAAACATAAAAAAAAAAAAAAAACACAGACTTATCACATTAACTAAATTGAATAACAACACCATCTCAAATTTAAAGAAAATAATTGACATTCCCTTTTTTTTTTTTTTTTTTTTTTTTTTTTTTTTTATGTTTTATTAATTTTTTATTATTTTATTCACATAGTATTGACATTCCAATTTTTCATTAATTTTTTTTATTAATATTTGTTATAATCACATATAATTTTTTAATTCATATTTATAAATTAATTTATGTTAATTGTATATTTAAGCACCATAGAAGTAAGTAATGATTGGATTATAGGTGGTATATTAAGAAATTCACACAACCAAAAAAGGTTAATCACAAAAGGTTGATAATATTGGAGCGCGGTACAGTATAAGAATTCATAGTTTAATTTCATACACCTAGAGAGGGTGTACTTAGTGCCTGGCGATCCAATATTTAATAAATATTCACTTAAGCACACAATTAACACTAATAATAGAGTAAGTTAACTCCTGGTGGCTCACAAATAACTATTCTATTAAAATTGGTTCTGATTTACTATCGCTGTTCTCTAGCCGGTCTAAAACCGCGTCTGACCTAAAGGGACACTTTTTGGACGTTTCTCAGTTTCCAGGCAGAAAGGGCGGTAAAAATGCAGGCCGGGCGCCAGACAAAGCACTCGGGACACAATGTATGTGAAATGGTTTGATACAGGAATGTTATACTCTGTGATTTTAGTGTATTTAGTGAATGTCACTTATTAACATTTTTAAATTTCCCGCCAGTTCTGTCCCCGTACGTCCCGACGTCGCAGGGAACGGAACCCGGAAGACGGATGCCGGCATCGGCCGGAGGACATTGCTGGGGACACTGCAGGAGGGACATCGCGGGAGCGCGGGATAAGGTAAGTGATCGAGGGATCCCAGAGCAACGCTGCAGTGTATTCCCGAGTGTAGCTCGGGGGGGTTACCGCTTGTGGTGCTGAAACTTTACCCCGAGCTACACTCGGGAATACCGCCAGGGGGGTTAAAGGCAAATAGGCTGCTCCCTTTGCGAGGGAATTTCTCTTTTAGGTAAGTGAATGTGGTAAAAAAAAAAAAAATCACATTTCAAGGAAAATATTTTTTTTTAAATCCAGTCATATGCTTGCATGTGATTGGATGATGGAAGTCAACAGAGCTTCACCTCATTCACTAAACTAAGGGAAAATTCCCTTGTAAAGAGAACAGCTTATTTGCCTTTAGTAAATGAACCCCAAAGGCTCCATGTACACTGCAGCTGATAGATTCCCGTTTAGGAGCTTTTCTGCATATTTTTCAGCAGCCCCTGAACTCTCCCTAATATTTCCCTATGTGTCCGTGTACACAGCGTCCTTTACAGGCAGTTGAGTTTACAGTTGTTTTTTTATTGCACCAAACTTGCGTTCAGGAGTAGATTACACCATTCTGATGTAAGGGGGGGGGGGGGGGGGGGGGGGGGGGGCTTAGTGACCAGAATCCACCTTAAATCAGTCTGCAGCATTCCCCTTTGCATAAAAGTTCTCCATTACATCATGATCTGTAGCATTTCCCTTTACATCAGAGTTCCCTTTTACATCAGGGTCTGCAGAGTTCCTCCTTGAGTTCCACAAAGTTCTCCCTTACATCCTAGTCCACAGAGTTCCCCTTTACATTTGAGTCCGCAGGGTTCCCTCTTACAGTGTAAGGATGAATTCTGTGGACCCTGATGTAAAGGGGAACTCTGATGTAAAGAGGAATGCTGCGGACCCTGATGTAAAGGGGAATGTCGTGGACCATGATGTATAGGGGAACACTATAGATTCTGATGTAAGGGGGGGGCTCTAGTGACCAGAATCCACCTTATATCAGTCTGCAGCATTTCCCTTTGCATAAAAGTTCTCCCTTACATCATGGTCTGTAGCATTCCCTTTTACATCAGAGTTCCCTTTTACAGCAGGGTCTTTGAGTTCCACAAAGTTCTCTTTTACACCAGTCTGCAGCATCCCCCCTTACATCAGAGTCCGCAGGGTTCCCCTTTACAGTGTATGGGTGTTTTAATCAATGCGCCTCATGTCGCATAAACAAATAAAAGGTTCCGCACTATTTTACTGTGACTTGGATGCAGGTAGACTGCACAAAAGTTGCAGTTGGTTGCAAGGAAATCACAGTCCTTTAGCATGGTTGCAGTCTCTAACAGGGGCGGACTGACCATTCGAGCTCTCCGGCACTGCCTGAGGGCCCGGGGTCAGTAGGGGGCCCCATGAGATGCCCCTGGTACCTTTCATTGGCTTTTTTCATAGGCTTTTTTGGGTATGGGTGAGGACACAGGGGCCCCATGATCCCCTTTTGCCTGGGGGCCCCATGAGCTGTCAGTCCGCCCCTGGTCTCTAACCATCTCCGGTTGCATGCTTTCAGTCTCTGACAGCTTTCTGCAGCATTACATTATTGAATATGATGTGCAGCCCTTTGGGGATGTCAGGAGCCGCACTTGAGGCCTCCTATATCAAGAAAGTTGACCACCACTGACCTACTGAGTCAGCTTCAAAGCCAGTCTTTGCGTTAGCCTGGAGAGTATCACCCAATAAACCTCATTTTTCCAGCTATTGCAGTGAACGTCATGACTACCCCCTGGACTTCCTATGGACTTCACAGAAAATAGTTCACCCTCAGGCTACAGTCATAACACTCGTCAGGCTAGTGATGTACTTTGAACAATATTTCATCCCCTCACAGAACCTACTGAAAAATATCGGTTCGAAAAATACAGAGGAGTTCCACGAAAATGCAGAAATGACGCCTGAGAGTGCCAAAAGTGTGATCGTTGGAACAGCTGACGATGGACCATAGACGTCCAGAAGGATTGTCCTGCTGTTTTCTTGGTGATGTTCCTCTACAGAGACTTCACTATGAATCATAGGGCCCCATAGCAAAGGTCACAGCCTGGAGCCTAATGATAAAAGGTGGAGCTCTTCTCTTTGTGTATAAGGTGACATCAGAAATGTATTTTTGTAGGCCTCCATTATTCTTCTGCATTGCAGTCGTGTGTGGTAGAACATACCCTCATCGGCCATCTTCACCCAATAAACCTCATTTTTCCAGCTATTGCAGTGAACGTCATGACTACCCCCTGGACTTCCTATGGACTTCACAGAAAATAGTTCACCCTCAGGCTACAGTCATAACACTCGTCAGGCTAGTGATGTACTTTGAACAATATTTCATCCCCTCACAGAACCTACTGAAAAATATCAGTTCGAAAAAATACAGAGGAGTTTCACGAAAATGCAGAAATGACGGCAAAAGTGTGATCGTTGGATCAGCTGACGATGGACCATAGACGTCCAGAAGGATTGTCCTGCTGTTTTCTGGTGATGTTCCTCTACAGAGACTTCACTATGAATCATAGGGCCCCATAGCAAAGGTCACAGCCTGGAGCCTAATGATTAAAAGGTGGAACTCTTCTGCAAAATGATACCGTTGGTGTATAAGGTGACATCAGAAATGTATTTTTGTAGGCCTCCATTATTCTTCTGCATTTCATTCATGTGTGGTAGAACATACCCTCACCGGCAACTTTATTAGGTCCATCTGTTCAATTTCTTGGTAACACAAATTGCTAATCAGCCAATCACATGGCAGCAACTCAATGCATTTAGTCATCTAGACGTGGTGAAGACGACTTGCTGAAGTTCAAACCGAGAATTAGGGGATTTAAGTGACTGAACGTGGCATGGGTGTTGGTGCCAGACGGGCTGGTCTGAGTATTTCAAAAACTGCTGATCTACTGGGATTTTCACGCACAACTATTTCTAGGGTTTACAGAGAATGGTCCGAAAAAGAGAAAATATTCAGTGAGCGGCAGTTGTGTGGAGGAAAATGCCTTGTTGATGTCAGAGGAGAATGGGCAGACTGGTTCCAGATGATAGAAAGGTAACAGTAACTCAGGTCATGTCATCGGTATCTTCAGTGTGGGCATCCAGCTGTAACAGCTTGTGGCTTCACAGCCGGGTGCCCACTGCGCATGCGCGAGAAGTACTGAGATTCGTGAATGGTCCTGCAGTCCCAGAAGACTACGGAGAGGTTGGAGGACAACTTCCGCCTAGGCGATCGCAGCGGAAGTGGGAGCGGGTACCTGTCAATTCCGGGTACCCACTCCCCCCCCCCCCCCCCGCTCCCCAAAAGGGCCAATCCTTAATGAGGAGTGGGAGACCAGTCCTTAAAGCGCAACTTTCCCATTTGGGTGGAGCTCCGTTTTAACATCGGCAATAAAAGAAGCAGCCTGCCATCCCTGCACCCTCCAGCAGCACACAGCCTCCTCCGGATCTCTTGGGGGAGTTGAGCAGGTACCCATCCCTGCCACTCTTGTCCCTTCTTCCGGAGGGCGCCCCCCGAAAATTGCCACCCTAGGCAAACTCCTTGTTTGTCTCGCGGTAAATACACCGCTGCTGCCATTTGCATAACTGCTCCCAAGAGCCAGCCTACTTCTTGCATCAGAGCTGTTGGGAGGAGTACTGAGGCAAAGTTATGTGATGTTATCAGGAAGCTATGTACAGCACCTTGCTGGCTCCTCCCACCAGCCATGATCTGCCTGCATACATCATAGGGATGCACAGGTACCCAGTGATGACAGTCACTTGGTCTACAATTAGGTATGTAATGAAAACTGATTTTCTTTCAAATATTATTAGCATGTTAATTAGGTGTAATATCAGCGGATTAAACCTCAGCTTTATTTTCTCTCTTCTATACTGATTGTTCCGCTGATTGTTTGTATACATTTCCCTTGTCACAGTTTTCTCTGCAGCTTGTTTTGGCTCCTGCAAATTTCCTAGAAAACCCAACGGGGGTGTGCATCGCTCGGAGTATAAATTTGCAGTTAAATATTTGTGTATTCCTCGTGGCCGGACCGCCATGAGACATTTTTAGCTTGTCTGGCAGTTTGTGCGCATTGTCGGGAGAACAAGACCTCGCGCTGATTACGGGAAGACATCATTAAATGAGATCTGCGTCTCTGTCCTCGGGCCGAGCGCTGGGTGAGCGCCGCGTCCTCGGGAACATGTAAGTGACAGATAAGCACATTCCTCCTAATGCGCCGTAATCTCCGGCCCATTCCCAGCGAATTCCTTTCAAGAACTCGCCAATGAACGATCTGCAAACGCCATAAGAGGCCGGCCTTTGGAAGCGGAATATGTCAGAAGGACCAAGTCCAGTCTGTTTACCGCTCTGAAATATTTCATGTCTGCGCTTTTTGTTTTCTGAGTTGTTTTCTTAACCAACTGGTTTGTGACCAGTGGCCTGGGATTTGCCAGGACGTGGCTGGAGAAAATACAGATTTTATCTATCTTAAAGAAAAAAAAAAAAACAATGTCAAGCCTCAGAACTTTGCATTTGTTTGTAGTCCCACCCACCCTCAGCATCTTAGGATATTTACTTCAAAAAAGGTCTTAAAATAGTCTTTTCTCCCAGTAAAAATACTGCTTCCTGCCCTCCCCATTCAGTGTTCTGTGTTAGCAGAGCTGAGTAATTGCCACGCCCCTCATCACATGTCCTGCATTACACAGGAAGAGAGGGGCGTGTCAGACCAGTTTTGTTACTGAGCGCTGATTACTAAGTGCACTGGGTCTAAGGCCACCGGTGGATAGAAAGAAAATCGCTCAATTCCCCCTTCAAAGTAGATTCCCCCACAGTTCTATTGTGTTCTTCTGAGTGCCACGTGATTGGGTATGCTATGCAAAGTAGAGCTTTACCTCAGTTACTAAGCTCTGGAGCAACTGCACTGGCACAGTGCAACTGCATTTTGCAAAGTGCATAGTCTATTGCAGCACAGCGGGGCAGCACACAGTGGCAAAGTGGCTGGCCTGGCAGCACTGGGTCGTGGGGATCCC